GCCTCTGTCTCCAAAAAAAAGTGACGTTCGGTGATCATTAAAGACTCTCTACCCTCCACCCAAGTTTTGTCCATGAGTGGCTTTGTCCAACTTCCTCCCGTTTGGTCTACAGAGAGATGGGAACACAATCATCTCGAAAATCACGATTAAGAGGATTTACAACAGTACTGTTGCGGTGAGTGCAAGCAAGCAAACGTCTTGCAAGACATTCGAAATACTTCTCATGTGTCGTACCTAAAGTAGGAAGCAGTTGCTTGAAACTTGTATTGATGAAACCATCGCCATTTGTTTGGTGGATGGCATTTGTCCCACCGGTACGTGTCCAACTGGACCATTCACTCTGGTGGTCAAGAATGTACTACAATACTCCAGGGAGGGTAATTGTCGTAGAACAAACTTGAGGAAACTCGGACCTCACCAAAATGGCTTTGGAAAAATTAAAAAGGAAAGCTTTTAAACGTCTTACAAACACTATGACGAAATGGAAGAGCCAGGGAAAAAGTAATCGATTTGTCGCTATATCGAGTGTCCAAACTATCTATTGTGGTGGTATGGGAGGTAGGAGGAGCCTGGCGGGGTCAACGGCCGTGGGTCTACCGCCGGGGAAACTGGGGCGGTGGATATCTACCTGCTACATCTTCCACCTCCATTCCTATCTACCTATCTGTGCAGTGGCTTCCTCCTAGATTATTCTGACAGCACAACAAATACATCGGAGGCTCCGTTTATAGAGAAAGTGCCGTAGCTGAACATTCTCTACGATGTTTTCATAAGGAATTACTCAAGTGGACTCACAAATACTGGGGGGAAGTTTTATGAGTTCAAAGACACTAAGAATTACTTCTTGGGACATAAGGAAGAGAAAAAAAGTAGTTTATTGCCGTCGTAATAAGTTTTTCTATGATTCAGGCGATCTCTTGGACGTTGTGCACTAAGTGCACCTTGATGTCATTTACAATATGTCGCTACATATCTATTGAGATAAACATCATATTTGCATAAGCCCTTATAGCCTGTCAAGCCAAAGGACGTCTACCCGCCTAAGAATCTCCACAAGGTTTGGAAAATCTTCCAAGAGAAAACTAAATATCTACTTGAAATAAATATCACCGTTCCTATAGGAAGGTTGAACCTTACTGGATCTTTCAACATTTCAATGTCGCTCTTCTTCTGATGGCCCAATATTTCCTCGAGTTACCATCTCAGCGGTTTCCCTTCAAATCCTTCACATTTTAGGCGTTTTTCACGGGGGAGAAAATATGGATGTTTGTCGTCTTTTTTTATTTTTTTTTTTACTTAATTCTTAAATGCCAGCTATTAGTCTCAATATTATAAAGTTGTTGACTTTCGTTAGCTATGTTCCTATGTGAGGGAATGGAAATGTTGCGCCAGATTCCCCTCTACAAGGGAAGGATCGTTTCACATCGATGTCTCAGCCCCAAGAGAATGGTCGGTTGAGTGTAGAAGGAAGTTGCCCGTTTTACTACATCTCGTACGACACACATACAACTCCCGTGAGAGACCTTAGCCCAAAAACATCAATACTCCTGGAGGTGGTCGCTTATTAGAGGTTATAAAAGTGGTCGTTCAGTGTGTTAGTCGTTCGTGGGAGGTTTTTACTGTACAATTGTTCCACTGGCTGGCTATCCTGGAATGACAACAACCAAAAGAATTCCAACTCCTTACAATAAATGGTTGTAAACGTGACAAGAACTTCGGTCAGGAAGTAGAGAACAACTTTACCATTGCTGTATTGTGATAATATAAAACAACAAAAAGGAGATTATTGTGTAGAACATTCCGCTAGCTTTCGAACGGCATCGTTCTTACACGCCCGTTGAAGAACGGCATCGTTCTTACACGCCCGTTTAAGAACGGCATCGTTCTTACACGCCCGTTGAAGAACGGCATCGTTCTTACACGCCCGTTGAAGAACGGCATCGTTCTTACACGCCCGTTGAAGAACAACATCGTTCTTACACGCCCGTTGAGGAACAACATCGTTCTTACACGCCCGTTGAAGAACGGCATCGTTCTTACACGCCCGTTGAAGAACAACATCGTTCTTACACGCCCGTTGAAGAACAACATCGTTCTTACACGCCCGTTGAGGAACAACATCGTTCTTACACGCCCGTTGAAGAACGGCATCGTTCTTACACGCCCGTTGAAGAACAACATCGTTCTTACACGCCCGTTGAAGAACAACATCGTTCTTACACGCCCGTTGAAGAACAACATCGTTCTTACACGCCCGTTGAAGAACAACATCGTTCTTACACGCCCGTTGAGGAACGGCATCGTTCTTACACGTCCGTTGAAGAACGATGTCGTTCCAAAGCTAGCGGAATGTTCTACAAAAAAAAAAGAATCTTCTTTTTGTTCTTTTATATCATTTCAAATGGTTGTAAACATTGTTGTCAAAGTGGAAAAACAAACCCACCTTGAATATCAAACAAGCCAGACAAAACCTTCTCAAGAACAATATCCCCAAGGACCTGAAGACCCAACGACATCAATATAAATTGTAAATGAACAAACCCTGTACACCCCCCACAGTAAATATGATGATCTAGGTTGCTCTTTTTGAGCGGCACCTAATAAAGTTATTTGGAAAACAAAGTGTACGTACTTGTGCCTATATAGGTAAAATTGTGGGTTTCCCTTCTCTTCATACTCCGGTTGGGCACAAACTTTTGTCCACACTCCATCAGCACTGTGGATAAACCCACAACGATTTAATCAACTCCCTGGAACGTGTCGTCAACACAACGGGTGTGAAAAACAAACTTTATCTCGTAGATTCTCTTTAAACAAACACCTGTATTTTGTCTATCTTTATCTCTATAGAAGATAAAAACTAAGAAGAAAACATCAATATAAAGTGGTTTTCAAAAATCACGAGGAAAAAAACAATTTCGTAGAAATAACAATTTTTTTAAACAAACTTTTTGGAAAATGTTTTGTATCGTTTGAAATAGATATATTTAAAGATGTATCCTGAGGTATTGGAGGGTCTAATGTAGGTGACTGTCATTTCTGATCTCGAGTACTGCTCAACACAAGTTTTTTTTTTTTTTTGCTTATCCCTAGTACACGTGGTACATACAGGCCATGATAATCATGTTGGGTAGAAGTAGGCGACTGCTTTTACTGTAAGTGCATCACATGTTTACACGTGTGAAAAGCAGTCAACACAAGGTAACAAGACCAAATGTATAAATTATGTGTGACGTTTCGGTAATACCGTTTATTTATTTATATTTGGTATTATTACCTTTTATTTCTAATATATATAATCCAAATTGTAACCTACCAAGTACTGCTCACTCGAGTTGGACATAGGTTGAAGAAACCCCAATACCAAACAATTCCATTATTTAATAGACGCTGTGATGATCCCTTTGTGTGGACTTCTAGTCAACATGTCACAAAAATAAAGTCTTATTTTAATTGGGTCTATTGATAATTGGGACTAATTTTTGCTGCGTCAGTCTCAATGAAAGGAAGGGAGGGTACTTCATTCTACAACACACAGGAGTAACTTATAGAGATATGTGGGGCCTCACACAGAACTCATGGACTGAACTTGGGAATATAAAGCAATAACGTACCTTTCAGCATGTTTATCGGGATTCAGACAATAACTCTGAAATATATTACAGTGACTTTTATTGAAAACACACGAGATAACCAAGTGTGAACTGCCTGTCTCCTTGAAAAAAAAAACAGACCACTGGCGACATTAAAGACTTCCACCTTCTTAAGTATGTCCATGAGATCCTTTATCTCTTTCAATTTGACCATGTTTAAACTGAAATACTAAAACTTGCATTGGAGTAAACTGTGTTTTCCTTGAAACTATTACAGTAGAACTACCTCCCTGTAAAGGACACCTAATTTCAGAGCCAAAGTGTCCTTTAGGGAGAGGTGTCCTCTTACTGGAGAGTTGTTAAATAGTAAAAATGGTAATTTTGCAAATGCAAACTGTCCTTTGTGGAGAAGTGTCCTCTCATGAAGGTTTTACTGTATATATATATTTTTAAAGTTTGATGCTGGCTGAAGTGTTGTGGCTGCTATAGGAGCAGCAGGAACTCAATAAAACCCCCATATCACACAACATCAGTTTCCTCTCTCAGTTGTAGAGAAGAAAGCTCTGAGTGAAAACTGAGTCAAAGGATGTTTGACTTCCTGTTGGAGAGGCACCCTAGCTTTTCCCACCCACCTCTAGCTGACTACAACAAAACTTTTGGAAGAATCTTGGTGAAGCCCAAGCTTTCATCTGGTGTATACACACACCTTGGTCTCTACAGGACTTATGGGAGTCTACGGCACATCATGTTGTAGTCATGTCTCATCTTGTTGTGCATAGTTCAGATCCTACTGAACTCTTGTATAAAGTGTGTGACCCTCCATCACACAGATAGCCCCAGTTCTCTAGATGAGGCCACAGTAATGACAAGGTATAATTTGGATTATAGATTGTAAACACAAGGTAATAAGACCAAATAAATAGTGTGTGACATTTCAGTAACAGTGTTGTTACTTTTGTGCTACAGTACTTTTGGGTGAGTCCGCGACATTTGGCCCAATCTGAGACTAAGCCTCTCATTGGTCGTGACGTCAGAGGCTTAGTCTCAGATTGGGCCAAATGTCGAGGACTCTCCCGTAATTTTGTCTGATGATGGTAACAACACTGTTACCAAAACATCACACACACAATTTATTTGGTCTTGTTACCTTGTGTTTACAATCTATAATCCAAATTGTACCTTGTCATGGGACAAAGATTCTATGTAGCAGTTATAACCACTGTTGAAACAACTATGATGTTATAGCGATGTGAGTAACTTGGGTTCAGCAGCTGTGCTGACATATAGCTGGCCCCAGGTTTGATCTGTCTCATTCTTAGAGAGTAAACACAAGCTAATAAGACCAAATAGTGTATGACATTTCAGTAACAGCATTCTTACCATCTTCAGACAAAAGTACTTAATTGTGGGATGTAGCTCAGTGGTGTCCGCTTTGCATGTGAAAGATCCTGGGTTCAATCCCCGGCATCTCCATATTTTTTATTCAGTACTTTTGTCTGAAGATGGTAACAACGCTGTTACAGAAACATCACACACTATTTATTTGGATTTGGTCTTATTTTCTTGTAGTATATCTTTATATATATAATAGTCAATGCCTGTCTGTTTCGCGATAAACTCAAAAACTACTGAACCAATTAGTGCCAAATTTTGCATGTCGCTTTTTATAAACCTGAGGAAAATTTTCGGCTACATTTTGATTAATATTTTTGGCTATTTCTTTTTTTCATTTGAAGAACTTTTTTTTTACGCGGAGTAATCCGGAATGGAATGATTACCCAAATATGGCCATTTTTTATAAGCATCGGTGGTTCGGTGGTAGAATGCTCGCCTGCCACGCGGGCGGCCCGGGTTCGATTCCCGGCCGATGCCTTTTTTTTTACAATTTTTAAAACTCATTTATATTATATATAATATAAATATATATTATTATATCAACTATATTAATTAAATCAAATACCTAAACGCTAATATAATACAATTTTTGCCATCACACACACTTTTTTCCTGTAGTTTATGTGTTACTTCTGTATTGCTATTCTATGGCACTTCTAATATTTATTATTTATGTACTTCAGTATGAAGGAAATTGCAATCGGGGGAATTCTCAGGCAAAGCCGGGTCATACGTCTAGTAATCTATAATTCCAATTGTGCCTCATCATTCTTAGAGAGGTTCACAGCATAAGCTGCGGAAGTTGTCAACTCCACTTACTGGATATACTTCACTGTCAGTGAGTGGAAGTAACCCAACAGGGCTCTGGAACACTCGGTGGTGCAAACTGCTTTTCACATGTGTAGACATGTGGTGCACTTACAGTAAAAGCAGTCGCCAACTATCCATGATTATCATGACCTGTACCACGTGTACTAGGGATAATAATAATCATGATTATCATGGCCTGTACCACGTGTACTAGGGATAATAATAATCATGATTATCATGGCCTGTACCACGTGTACTAGGGATAATAATAATCATGATTATCATGACCTGTACCACGCGTACTAGGGATAATAATAATCATGATTATCATGGCCTGTACCACGTGTACTAGGGATAATAATAATCATGATTATCATGGCCTGTACCACGCGTACTAGGGATAATAATAATCATGATTATCATGGCCTGTACCACGTGTACTAGGGATAATAATAATCATGATTATCATGACCTGTACCACGCGTACTAGGGATAATAATAATCATGATTATCATGGCCTGTACCATGTGTACTAGGGATAATAATAATCATGGCCTGTACCACGTGTACTAGGGATAATAATAATCATGATTATCATGGCCTGTACCACGTGTACTAGGGATAATAATAATCATGATTATCATGGCCTGTACCACGTGTACTAGGGATAATAATAATCATGATTATCATGACCTGTACCACGTGTACTAGGGATAATAATAATCATGATTATCATGGCCTGTACCACGCGTACTAGGGATAATAATAATCATGATTATCATGGCCTGTACCACGCGTACTAGGGATAATAATAATCATGATTATCATGACCTGTACCACGCGTACTAGGGATAATAATAATCATGATTATCATGGCCTGTACCACGTGTACTAGGGATAATAATAATCATGATTATCATGACCTGTACCACGTGTACTAGGGATAATAATAATCATGATTATCATGGCCTGTACCACGTGTACTAGGGATAATAATAATCATGATTATCATGACCTGTACCACGTGTACTAGGGATAATAATGATTATCATAGCCTGTACCACATGTATTTGGATGATTTATCTCAAAAAATGGCATAAGAAGCTGCAATTCTTTTTATTAATTTATTAAGGAAGCTTTCAGACAAACCCTTCCTCAGCAAACATTTGGATGATTATATAATTTTAAAGAAATAACTACATTTACTGTGAAGATGTTATTCAGAAATGATGGAATCCTGACACAAGAGATCTCTCAGAGCTGAGATAAACTGAGACATAAGGTGGTTCAGGAGGACGGCAGTCTCACATTAGATAGCTCATGTATGGGAGACTGTCCAGCTAAAGTAGCTATTTTGTGGGTCTGATGGAGTTATATAGCCTTGGTCTGACACAATCGTTATATTTATAGTTGAAAACTTATATTGTCATGAGTAAAAAAACTGTAAATAAACAAATGTAATAGTCATATATATATAGTTTGTTGTTGACATAAATATGTTTTAATACCTTGAAAAAGGTGGGCGTTCAGCCACACAACTGAAATATTGGTAAATAAATTATATTTTGATCCAATATATGTCTTTTTAATTGAAGATCTATTTATGGATTGCTCTATTTAAAAATATATATATACAGTTAAACCTGTCTATAGCGCCCCCTCTAAATAACGCCTCCCTCTCTATAGTGCCCGATTTTAAATACGTAGTACGATGCGATTTACATTAAAAGTGACCTGTCTATAGCACCCCCTCTCTATAGCATCCTATTTTGGTGAGTCCCAAGAGGGGGCGACAGGTTTAACTGTATTTATAGTTGTAAACTTATCATCCTATATTGTCATTAGTAAAAAACTGTAAACAAACAAATATCAATGTGATAGAGGCCACAACTCCACTACAGTAGAACTAACTCCCTGTAAAGGACAACACCTAGTTACAGAGCCAAAGTGTCCTTTAGGGAGAGATGTCCTCTTACTGGAGAGTTGTTAAATAGTAAAAATGGTAATTTTTTGCAGATGAAAACTGTCCCTTGTAGAGAGGTGTCCTCTAGTGAGAGAGTCCTTTCAGGGAGGTTCTACTGTATATATTTATACACTGTATATATTGCTGTATTTTGGTAAAATAAATGATATTTTGATACATGCCTTTTTATTCAAATAATTTAAAATATGTAAATAAAATAAATTTTAGCATATATACGTATATAGATATTTAATTTTTGATGTGTATAGTTTAGCTAGAAGTTCTACTCCTAGTTGTGTGCTCCTGTTGAAGGGCTGGTTAGCCCGGAAGTTAGAGGAATAAAATTGTACAAGAAACTTGGCCGTGGATGGTTTATTCTTCTTCTTTCTTATCTCCACTCAATCATATTAGGGTGTCAAGCGTGTAAAGCTGGAGATTTGACAACCATCATGATTGGGTGAAGTAGAATGCATCTGCCTTTGTCATTAAGACTGGGAGCACTACTCAGTGGCAGGCCGACTTTTTTTGGCTCCAAAAGAAATGGATAATTTATTAACTGTCCTCATCAGACCTGCTGATGCCAACAACTAATACTTCTTCTGTCAAAACAGGGGAGATTTTTGGACAAACAGTGGAGAGGGTATAATTTTCAACACCAATTTTAAACCTAACATCAAGAAATTAAATAAAGATATTCTATGAAGTTAAATATTAAAACTTTAATTTAAAATTTTAAAGTACATAACAATCCCTAAACTTCTTCTTCTTCTTTCTTATCTCCACTCAATCACACTAAGGTATCAAGCTTGTAAAGCTTGAGATTTTTGATGGTGTCTGTCGGGGAAGAGTAGAGCTCATCAATGGATGAGTTAATACAGTCAATAATGTGTCTTGGGGTTGCAGGCTGACACTTAGTACATAGTGGGAAAACCCTGCAACCATTCTGAAAAGTCATTGTCCATAGATGACCAGACTTAAGTCTGGAAATCAAAGACTGATCCCTAAACTAACCTATAGCTGAAACTAACCTAATATTATTCAACTTCAAATATATTAATTTGTCATGTTTATAAAGAGGTGTGGAAATTAATACCCAATGAAGGTGATAAAGCACAATTTGGATTATAGATTTTATTCTTTTGCCTGATGATGGTGACAATGCTGTTGCCGAAACGTCACACACTTAATAAATTATTTGGATTAGGTCTTATTTTCTTTTACCCAATAAAGGTGCATGTTTATACGAGGTAATAAGGCCAGATCCAAATAAATAGTGTGTGATGTTTTGGTAACAATGTTGTTGCCGAAACATCTAACAACACACTATTTATTTATTTGGTCTTATTACCTTGTGTTTATAATCTATAATCCAAATTGTACCTTATCATTAGATTTGGTCTTATTACCTTGTATTTATAACCTACTAGACGTAAGACCCGGCTTCGCCCGAGAATTCCCCCGATTGCAATTTCCTTCATACTGAAAGTACATCAATAATAAATATTAGAAGTGCCATAGAATAGCAATACAGAAGTAACACATAAACTACAGGAAAAAAATGTGTGTGATGGCAAAAATTGTATTATATTTTAGTGTTTAGGTATTTGATTTAATTAATATAGTTGATATAATAATCTATATATATAAAAATGAATGTATGTGTGTCTGTTTGTCCTTTATGCCTGACCAAACCACTCATTGGAACGCCATGAAACTTTGGGAAGTTATTCAGTATAGTACTGGGAAGGTTTCTAGCAAATAAAATTTTTGAAATAACTTTTCGCCTAAAAATAATCAAGATAAATATTCTAATTTTCTGTTATAATTCAACAATCTGCTCTAAATATTATCATGATGATACGATGATTTTGTAATGTAGAAAATTAGGAAAGACAAAATTCAGGATGACACGGCAATTTATTTGAGACAAGAATAATGATACAATTCCAAAGCAAGATACTATTCCTTTAACTTCCAATTACCGAGGGAACCAATTAATATTGATTTTATTCAACTTATCGAGTATTTTTCAAGGGACCGGGAAAAAATGTTCACTTTATGGAGAGATTCGTTAGACAAACCTTTACTCGGGTAAAACCCGGGCGAAGCCGGGTACGTCCGCTAGTATATATATATTTATATTATATATAATATAAATGAGTTTTAAAAATTGTAAAAAAAAAGCATCGGCCGGGAATCGAACCCGGGCCGCCCGCGTGGCAGGCGAGCATTCTACCACTGAACCACCGATGCTTATAAAAAATGGCCATATTTGGGTATTCATTCCATTCCGGATTACTCCACG